GGTTTGGGTTTTCTTATTCGTTTCCTTGTTCTCGCCGTGTCGTCATCAAAATAATCAGTCCTATCCGAGGCTAAGTTGTTGGTTCCATGAGCATAAGTTTTTTTGACCGTGGGTAGGTTGCTGGCTTCTCCCATGAACCCTCCTCCTTTATCCGGGCTTGGGACCGGCAACGTCAACAGTTGAGTTTCTTAATTCACCAACCGCTAACACAGGCGGAGTTGTATTATTTTATGTGTTAATTAAACACTCCAGTTAGAATAATGTGGTCTTTATTAACTTCTGATGAATATTGGTTACATCTCGTTACATCTGTCGCTATGACACTGCCCAACTTGGCTAGTGTATTATGGGCTGCCTAAGCCCAGCCACATATATTATATCATACGTACATCATATATATGATACACGCTTACACACGTATATATCATACACGCTTCACTGATTCAACAACCGCCAAAGTTTTCAACTCAAAACTATGCCTCGCCTGCTCAGTTGCCAGAGTGCCTCTACGAAAATAAGGCACAGGTCGCCAATCGCCATCGTCCTCTTTCTGCAGCAAGACACCTGTTATACCTAGTTTGCAAGCATCCGTATATAGCTCTATCGCCCTTCCACTATCATACAACGCCAGTACCGGTCTTTTCACTAATAACACCTTCAATTGCTCAAATGCGTTCTGCTTTGAGTCACCCCAACGTCATATTTCTTGGCTAAGGCTGACAAAGGCCCACAATTACGGCAAAACTCTTGAGAAATTTTTGAAAATAACTTGCCAGTTTCAAAAACTGTCGCACACCATACACATCTTTAGGCACTGAAAAATCTTGAACCGCCTGAATTTTCCTCTCGTCTGGTTTTTTCCACTACATTTTTCCAAAATCAACTTCAAACCCTCCTGTGAGCATAACCAAAACGCGGCTCAATAAGTACAGTCCATACGATACAGCTGTCGAAGGAATTAAAATATCATCCATATGAGCCAGGATTTCATCGCCTTGAGCTTCCTTCAGCATTTTGTTCACGACCCATTGGAAGATAGCAGGCGCGTTTGCCAAGCCAAAAGGTACACGCAAATACTCATAATGCCCATCAGGGGTTACAAACACAGTTTCCTCAATGGAGTCTTCATGCATTGGGACTTGATGATTCTCTTGCGCCTTATCTAAGGTGGTATAGAAACACTCGGGGCTGTGGGAAACAATCCTTCGCTGTGAGTGTATTCAACGCCCCATAATCCACATCTCAACTACAACTCTCTTTCATACAACGACAGCCGATAAGGTCGATATACTACCGGATACTAGTTAATTTGATGTTTAATGCGCCTAACTCAGTCATCCCCAAATCAGTATCGCCCGTTGAAAAGCATTCCAGCAGATAGGACATGCCAGCAACACCATCGTGGACCACTACCTGAAGCTCCGCCTTTTCGCCTCGTTGGTACTTAATTCCCTTAGCTGGGTCACCTTTCTGGATTAATTTTTCATCCCTTTCCTTCAAAAACGGTGGTCAGCGAAGGTGGGGCAACCACCACATCAGGCAAAACCATGACAAAGACTGCTGATATTTGGGAGCGAGATACAAATATTTAAACGTACATACTTCCCACCTATTTGATCTTTCCGCTCTATTATTTGTGTGGCTAGAGATGCGCATTCTCACATTTGGTCTTACTAGGATGTGGTCCGAGTCTGCCCCTCTCAAGCTCCGTACATCAAGGACGTTGTTTGCATGTCTCGCGTCTACTAAAATGTGTCTTTGTGTTCAATGAATGTCCTTGTGTTCAAACATTGCATTATGATGTTCAAACATCAGCAAGTTATTGCTAGCCGCTAGTTGGATGAGCCTCATACAGTTGTCATTACTGATGTTGTGCAGGCTGTTTATGCCTATGGTTGGTTTGTACACTCGCTCTCGTCCAATTTTTGCATTGAAGTCCCCACGCATCAGTATCATAGGTTGTTTAGGTATTTGCATAATTGCTGTTTCTAGTTGGTGTGAGAATTCGTCTTTGATGTCTTTATCCTTCTCCTCCGTAGGGGCATGAACTGATGTGATAGCATAGTTGTATTATGGTTCTTCTAGTCGAATGCCGCAAATGCGGTCACTTACTGGGTTGAAGCACAACACACTGTTAAAGATCTTCTCTAAAACCACAAACCCTGTCCCAAATTCATGCTTTTTATAAAATGTGTGACTTGCTAATTCTCATCTCCCCACTGTCGAACCATCTGATTTCTTGGACTGCTGTGATGTCCATTCTACATAAACTGCAGTTTTTATATACAGGGTTGCTCATTAGAGCGTCAAAGTGCGATATCTCAGTAAATATGAACTTTACGAGAAAATACGTCCTACGAAAGTTTTTCATGTTTAAAAGGTCCACATTTTAAAATTA